CTATTAAAAGTCTATTAGAATTTTTTTATTAATTCTAATTGGAATTCATGTACGTATTTTAATTATATTCTAATTGAATTTCATATATTAATTATATTATTTGAATTGTTCTTAGAAATCGTTTTAAGAAATGTTAATAGTATATAGAAGAGAATTTAAGAAATTTAAGAATTTTAAGCACGACCTGTGTGAATACATCAAATACGATAAAGAAAGCCAAAAACGGTCAAATTTGGATATTTCAAATAATACATTATATAACGGAAAGATAAAGGGCATACACCACGAACGCTAGATATCGTTAGCGAATGATTATATTTGATTATAATACATTATAATCTAATTACACATAATTAAATATATATAAACGTTTCGTCCTTACATTAGACCTTCAATATTTAATAATTAAAAAATATTTACGACAACAATTCGTCTACGTATATTGTCTTATGACATGTTTATTTGTAATGTTAACATGCTCGTTATTAAACAATAGTTTTTTTATTCTTAATATGCAAGTTATTGATGTTAGTCCGAAAGGATAAAAAATTTTCGTATCCAAAAGCAATCTTTTTATTACAAAAATTCAGATAGTCCAGATGTTCCTATTTAGTTGTTACAGTTGTTGAAATGCAGAACTTCCAGATTCTAGTAATTACAATATTCTTTGATTAATTAATTAGTTTCAAATCGTGTTTTGAATTATAAAATATAAAAAAACTTCGTACCTATGTTACAATCAACAATGTGGAAAGAAATCGAGAGTGAGGACTTGTTTTAATAAAATACTCATTTCAATGTTTTGACATAAATTCTTATCATAATACATAGCTATATATACCTAACATATATCAAGAAGAGGATAAAAAGGACTTAGGGGGGAGGTTAGCATAGGAAAGTATGTTTCTGATCATTTTTCCGTATCACTCTGCATTTTGAGATCATCGATTTGTTTTTCAATAACTATCATTTCCGATATGATTCTTTTATGGAAACATTGTTCTATTATATGTCTAATACTTGAACGTTATCTCAATTTATTTTGCGACTACTTTCTATCTGATGTAATAAAACAGTCAGGGAATCTTTCGATTTTCTTATATTCGCTTTATGTTCTTTGATTCGCGTTTTTATTTTCCTTTTTGTTTGACCGACATAAGAGGAGTCATAATTCAAACAGCTTATTTTGTATACTACATCACATTGCTCCATTTTTTCTAATCTATCCTTACCTAATTTTATGAAATGATTTAAATTGTTAATAGGTTTATACGCTATTTTTAAATTGTTTTTTTCCGCTATAGTCTTAAATTGATCCGAAATTGTTAATATATAATATAGTGAACAATTTTTTTCTACCGTGATCGATGGAATTAATATTATTATCAAATAAATTCTTTTTATTTGCCAATTTTTTAAGTTTCTGATTAATTGTAGAAAAAATTATGTTAAGAGGAACTATTAATTAATAGAACATTTATCATGGATTCAATATTTTTTTTGTGATTTCGGATGTAAGAGAAACAGAATTCTATCAAGTTGACCGATTATTATTCCTCTTTTATGTTGCATTGGATGATTCGATTTGTAGCTTAAATATCTTCCTGAGTTCGTGGGTTTTTTATATATGTCAAATTCTATATAGCCATCTTCTAATATTACTTTAACATTTATAGATTTGTCGCCATGCTCCACTGTAAATCTCAATCTATCATGGTAAGAATTGAATCTATCTAATATCTCTATTAATCTGATTATTCAGAATTGCTAATAAAATATCATCCACATATCGATAATAAATTGGAGTGTTAATATTAATGTTAGAAAAGATTTTCTCTTCTAAATCTTGAATTACTATTCATTCATGAAATTCGCTAGGACAGGTGACAATGGAGACTTTTCATGGGCATACCAAAGATTTGTTTAAAAAATTTATTGTCAAATTTAAAATACGTTGAATTGATAATCAAGGAAATAGCATCAAGAAATTGTTTTTTTGGAATGCTTGTTTTTTGTGATATGTATCCCATCTTTTTTCAATGCTTTTTGATTAATTTTATGGGAATGTACATCGATGTAATGTCGAAGAAGACTAATTTGTAATTTTATTTCAAAGCTATACCATTTAAATTATTGATCAGTTCAAAACTGTTTTTTATGTGGCCAAATTTTTTTGTACTTTTATCAATGATTTCTTTTATTAGGTGTACAACTTTGCTTCCGCCGTTCTTTTTCCGAAATTCGAGGCTTTATTGTAAAAAACTGGTTATACATTTATGATTCAAAATATTGTCCATCGCTGGCCACTACTTTCTCCCATCTTTCGGGTAGCGTACGAATCCCGCGTCGAAAAAACTGGTCATCTTTTGAGGCTATCCACGAATCGATCCAATTTTTTACTTCTTCATAAGATCGGAAGTGCTGGTCAGCCAGGCCGTATGCCATTGATCGAAACAAGTGATAGTCAGAGGGAGCAACATCTGGAGAATACGGCGGGTGGGGTAGGACTTCCCATTTCAATGTTTCCAAGTCTTGACCACTTTCGCAACATAGGATCGAGTATTGTCATGCAAAATCGTGTCTCTCGTTGTATTGCAGCCGTTTGTCTTTCAATGCTCGACTCAAACGCATCAATTGCGTTCGATATCGATCGCCTGTGATTGTTTCAGTCGGTTTTAACAGTTCATAATACATTACGCCGAGCTGGTCTCACCAAATACAGAGCATGACCTTGGACGTCAAAATCATCGTTCTTGAAGCGTTGAAACCACTCACGACACGTTCTTTCACTAATAGCGGCCTCATCATAAGTATTTGAGAGCATTCGATGAGCCTCAGCCGCAGATTTCTTCATATTGAAGCAAAAAATTAAAACCTCCCGCAAATGACGAGAATTTGGCTCATAAACTGACATTTTCAATCGAGAATAACTTTATGATGCAGACACAAATCGACTAATGTTTCTATGAGGTTATGTTGACAGATGCCCAAGTTTATTGTATGACGTCTATGATCTATTTATTTCGACCACCACTTACCGCTAAAGCCATCTATAGGAAAACGGCGGAAGCAAAGTTGTACACCTAATAAGAAAGTCGCAACCCCTTGCGATTCCTCAATATCTCCATATTGAGGACTATTGATATAACTAACAATTATTCTTAGTGGATTCCCTTCTTTGTGAGTCTTTGGCATCTCATAGAATCTCGGCACTGTGCCGTCCGAAATATTTAATTTTCTGTACATATCCTGATTTATGTATCCCCTTCTCTTCCAGTCTTCTTCTAGTCACACAACAGTGTGTGTGTGTGTGTGTGTGTGTGTGTGTGTGTGTGTGTGTGTGTGTGTGTGTGTGTTTGCTTTGTCATTATATTTGTTAATGTTTCTTTGTTAATGTTTATATGTGTTATTGTCAGATAAATTTTCATGCATTTTCTTATTATAATCTATTGAGTTCATTATTACAATCGAATTATCTTTATCTGCTCGTGTAATTAAAGTATCCGGATGTTCACACATAAATTGTTTTACTGCCTTCATTCCTTCTTTTAATGTAATGAAGAGAAAATCTTTTCTAACAATATTAACACTCCAATTTACTATCGATATGTGGATGATATTTTATTAGCAATTCTGAATAATCAGATTAGTGAGATATTAGATAGATTCAATTCTTACCATGATAGATTGAGATTTACAGTGGAGCATGGCGATGACAAATCTATAAATGTTAAAGTAATACTAAAAGATGGATATAGAATTTGACATATATAAAAAACCCACGAATTCAGGAAGATATTTAAGCTACAAATCGAATCATCCAATGCAACACAAAAGAGGAATAATAATCGGTCAACTTGATAGAATTCTGTTTCTCTTACATCCAAAATCACAAAAAAAATATTGAATCCATGATAAATGTTCTATTAATTAATAGTTCCTCTTAACATAATTTTTTCTACAATTAATCAGAAACTTAAAAAATTGGCAAGTAAAAAGAATTTATATGATAATAATATTAATTTCATCGATCACGGTAGAAAAAAATTGTTCACTATATTATATAGTAACAATTTCGGATCAATTTAAAACTATAGCGGAAAAAAACAATTTAAAAATAGCGTATAAACCTATTAATAATTTAAATCATTTCATAAAATTAGATAAGGATAAATTAGAAAAAATAGAGCAATGTGATGTGGTATACAAAATAAGCTATCTGAATTGTGATTCCTCAAACAAAAAGGAAAATAAAAACGCGAATCAAAGAACATAAAACGAATATAAAAAAATCGAAAGATTCCCTGACTGTTTTATCACAACATCAGATAGAAAGTGGTCGCAAAATAAATTGGAATAACGTTCAAGTGTTAGACATAGAACTATGTTTCCATAAACGAATCATATCGGAAATGATATTTATCGAAAAACAAATCGATGATCTCAATATGCAGAGTAATACGGAAAAATGACCAGAAACATACTTTCCTATGCTATCCCTTCCCCCCTAAGTCCTTTTTACCCTCTTTTTGATATG